TTGTTTGTTGTTAAGCCCAAAACTGCGAAATGTGCTATTTGTGCTGTGTCCACCATTGGTATCCAAATCTGATTTTTGTCGTTACTATTCCCTAAACTTGCCGCAGAACCAACCAACTTGTTACTTTTTTACTACAAAACATCGTCTTCTGATTTAAGGTTTTTTTATATTATTATTATGTTTCTTTTGTATTAATAAACAAACGTACTGATTGCACGAGCTTCAGTCTGATTACTGTTGGATGAGAAAATTTTTTTTATCATGTTGGACTTGCTACTTTAGTTAGTTTGTGGGCAGAATAAGTTTGAGTGTCCTAACATCTCCAAATTAACATTTCTTCAGTTTCATGTTGAACTTGCTACTTTAGTTAGTTTGTGGGCAGAATAAGTTTGAGTGTCCTAACATCTCCAGATTTTCTTCAGTTTAATATTGGACTTACTACTTTAGTTAGTTTGTGGGCAGAAGAAGTTTGAGTGTCCTAACATCTCCAGATTAACATTTCTTCAGTTTCATGTTGGACTTGCTACTTTAGTTAGTTTGTGGGCAGAAGAAGTTTGAGTGTCCTAACATCTCCAAATTAACATTTCTCCAGTTTCATGTTGGACTTGCTACTTTAGTTAGTTTGTGGGCAGAATAAGTTTGAATGTCCTAACATCTCCAGATTAACATTTCTTCAGTTTCATGTTGGACTTGCTACTTTAGTTAGTTTGTGGGCAGAATAAGTTTGAGTGTCCTAACATCTCCAGATTAACATTTCTTCAGTTTCATGTTGGACTTACTACTTTAGTTAGTTTGTGGGCAGAAGAAGTTTGAGTGTCCTAACATCTCCAGATTAACATTTCTTCAGTTTCATGTTGAATTTGCTACTTTAGTTAGTTTGTGGGCAGAATAAGTTTGAGTGTCCTAACATCTCCAGATTAACATTTCTTCAGTTTCATGTTGAACTTGCTACTTTAGTTAGTTTGTGGGCAGAAGACGTTTGAGTGTTCTAACATCTCCAGATTAACATTTCTTCAGTTTTTGAGGAACCATTTTGTACGGTATTAGCCACATCCTGAGAAGGATTGTTGTGTTATTTAAAACCTCTTTGTATTTAGATAATTAATCATTGAAGGTTGTGTGATGATCGCCAAACAGAATGTATAATGTATAAAGTACTCCATCTTTGAATTAAGTGATGCATAGCGAAAGTCAAGTACCGTATTGCCCCTAATTAACGCCCCCCGGTATTTTTATTAAGCTTACCTTGTGTTGTTAAGCGATAAGCTACACAATGGGCTATCTGTGCTATACCCAACGCGAGTATCGAGACTCGAATTTTAGCGTTATAAGCCTTCAGATTGACCGCTAAGATATCAGAAGGTCAAAGTGGAAACAATAATTATAATATTAAAATTTACACGAGGGCTATCTGCGCATAACCGTCCTTTATTGGGTAGTGATGAACTTGAAGGAAGGCACCTTGTCAAAAGCACCGATCGCCAACCCCTGGGATGCTCTTGTCAGATTGAAAAATAAGCCACCCACAGCCCCATAATGCGAAGCAACAGGTCGTGAACCACGAACATTTGGATTCATTTTCCGGGAATTCTAACCATTCGGCCACGCTTGCTCTGCGAGAAGTGACAAATGGCTGTGTTTCAATGGTGCTGTGTAGTCGCCATCTTCGTTCAAACTTCAACCATTAGCAACTAGGTCTGTAAAGTTAAGCAACCAACAAGGTGCTTAAAACTGCATAATTCTAACTCTTTTGGTTTTCTTGTAATAAACTTTTAAAACCGGAACAGGACTTTGTGGATACCCTGTATGTATCTATGCTATTTCGTCAGTTCGTTTTAATGAAGTAAATAACATAATGGATCTAGCTTAGTAAATGACGTAAATTGAGAAATCCCTTTCCCAAGAAACGCGGATTGTTCTATAGAATAATAAACAATATTATTATTATTATTAAAACAGTAATATGGCTGATTTGATGTAAACAGTTAGTTAAGGGCAACATACAGCTAGATACTTCATCATTGCTGTACCTTCAGTAACAGTAATATGGCTGATTTGATGTAAACAGTTAGTTAAGGGCAACATACAGCTAGATACTTCATCATTGCTGTACCTTCAGTAACAGTAATATGGCTGATTTGATGTAAACAGTTAGTTAAGGGCAACATACAGCTAAATACTTCATCATTGCTGTACCTTCAGTAACTGAATTTTATTGTTACTATATGTATAATTAATAAACACACACGTGTACTACGTGTAAACTCCATTAATTCAGAACATATCCATCCCTTGTTCCCAGTTTGTCACAAAGTGGTCGGTCACCTTAGTTAACAAACTACCTTTCAATAAATCGTTCAACAGATTAAACCAACTGTAGTGCCTGGTATATACCTGAGAGCCGTAAGACGTAGCCCAACTTTCAAGGCCCGACAAGAAGGTGTGATCCACCAGCTATACAATTACGGGCGGCAAACACAGCTTGAATACTAAGTATTCTTAAACACCTTGGACGATCACAGTTCGGCGCCGGTTGTCTAACGCGAACGACTAAAGGTTATTGTAGCTCGAACTGCGAAACGAAGATTACATCAAAATAAATATTGCCTCGATATTAATTCCAAAGAAAAGATACTTTAGAAAAATTATACAAGTATATTAAATAAAAGGAAAGATAAAAATTTGCATAATAACTATACGATTAATTTTTCATGTCTATTAACTTAACGCGTCGAAAAAAATAACATGAACATAATAAAAATTTATTCCACTTGTTCTTCAAGAAGGCCTAACTGCCCATTTTGTCAATCTACACATGTACCCGCAACCATGTCCACATTTTATACGATAGTAAACATATTCAGGATACGTATATTAGATTCCCTGTAAAACAATCAATAAATATAAGGAGGTTTTGTTGTTGTTTTTTTATTTGCTAAGTTTCTTCTAAGACGTGTTTCTCACTTAAAATATATGCGAAGGAAAAATTAAATTTCCGAAATCATTGAGAAGGACGAGGGCTCCTAAAACGGATGCTTGTAAACTTCAGAATACCTATATTCCTATTCTACTTTTTGATTTAAGGGAAATAAAACTGACAGGTGAAACTAACACAATCTGAAAATTATTAAATGTTAAAGGCCAAGTACAGGTTGTATGTGCACTGGTGTTAATAGGATGAATGTGAAACACACACATAATACACACGTAATATATACTGTAGAAACGACCGCATAACTATAAGAAAATAATAAAGTTATTCCAAAATTGCCAGCTTCGAGGATATCAATATATTAACCCAGGTATAAGATATTCTAACACATACATTTATCATTCCCTTATTACGTAATAACTATATTTTTACAAGCTCCAACACCGATTTGGAGTACTCATGAGCTACCGTAACCAATCAGAACTCTGGAATATGCTACATTTGAGTATTGGGCTAAAATACTTGCTCAGTTTTTTTTTTTTTGTTGTTGTTGTTGTTTGTAGTTAAGCACAAAGCTGCACAAAGGGCTATCTGTGCTTTGTCCACCACGGGTATCGAAACCCGGTTTCTAGCGTTTTAAGTCCGCAGACATACCGCTGTGCCACTGGGGGGCATTTGCTCAGGTATCGGAGTACTTGGGATCGAATCCCGCTCTATGTGATTTTCACTTCTGGAGAAAATATTATATTTTAAATATTTTCAATTATATTTCAAATTGTTTAGCTTCGTAAAACAAGTTAAACTGTTAATTAACTTAGATATCTTCTCAAACTCTGTATAAATAATCTCTTATTAGGTATAAGCGCACTACAGTTTCTTGACAGTAAGTTGATATTTCAACGGCGAATATTTAACGTCAAAGAATCTTACATATAAAGGGTTCGGGGGTGTAAACGAACCTCTTTTGGATCACAAACTTTAATTTCACGAGCCACCATATCTATTTGCATGTTATCAGCGAAACCAATATCTTTAGCACAACAGCTAACGGTCCTGTTTCCCAGTGATTGGGCAAGTACTATGTCGTTCTACATTGTACTGACCAGACAAATACCATCACGATCTGGCCAGGATAAATTCTTCATATTTTCGTTTACTCTGGAGCAACTGAATATGGAAATTGGTGATTTTCTGTGATTTTTACAACTATTCGTATAGTAGTTATGCGTTTGTAATTGAAAAATATTTTGCTCAAAACCACCCATTAGTTATCACTTTTGTTGAGATTATGACTATCTCGTCTTCTAGAAAACAAAGTGTCATGAGGTTAACAGGCAAAGTGTCGTGAAGTTAACAGGCTTTTATGAAAATAGAACTCTATATTCGTTTTTCAAGGAAACTCTACTACGAAGTGTAGTACGATTCAGAACTGTTAAAATTGTTGTGTAAAATTCTGTAATGTGTATATTTTGCAGAGTGGCGTGGCCAGGTGGTTAACATGCGGGGCTACTAGTTGTAAGGTCTAAAATTCGAGTTGTGATGATGCTGAATACTTTCCACACTTTCAGCTATGGGCACGCTATAAAAGTGACAGTCATTCCCATTATTCGGTTCAAAGAGCCGATGGCGGCGGCTGTTTCTGACTTATTGGCCTCCTTCTGGTTAGTAACTCATAACTAGGGGTCACTGAACTAACCATGTAGTCAACGAGTGCGTAAGGTGTCGGTCAGGTTTAAAAATTCCAATTCTATAGTGTATTTAAAGCACAATTATCTTGAAATATACTGTTTCATATAAGCACAGGGGGCTTGAGGAGATTAGTTCCATTAATATTTTAAAACGTTCGACGTGTAACTCAGAACATAAGTATACATGTACATAGATGGGATATAAGTAATATATATATATATATATTTGGTTCTTAATTTTGTTGCATGGAAAAATAATCAAGAACCAATACTTTTTATTATTATGCTTAAATATAAGCTTCAGATTTTCTATAAGCTCTACCCTTTCTTTGTATTGATTATTATGATTCGAAGTATTCTTATTTATGTTATTTTTACAGTTTACTAAGCAGCATGTCATCGACACGTATACAGCGTTCATCAATAACTGGAAGACTGCCAAGGACGCTATCAAACTGACCACCCAAGCGAAACCTGCTTTTCACAAGTTTCTAGAGGTATTATAGTGTGTTTTAGTTGTTTTATTGCTCTCGATACCGGCACTTATTAAAACCTGAGGATATAATCTTCTATTATTAAAAAATAGTAATTAGGCTTAGCTTGTTTATTAAACTTCAAGCTTTGACCACCAGAGCTGCCTGAATGTGCAGTTTGTTGTGTTTTTGAGCGAAGCTACATAATGAACTGTTTGCACTCTGTCCACCACAGGGAATCGAACCCTGGAGTTTGGCGTTGAAAGTCCTTAAAGTTACCACTGATCAACTGGGGGCAAAATGTAGAGTAAAAACAGGCTTGTTTAGAATTCTTAATTGACAGATATAAAGGGCCTAAGGCAGAATAAAGAAATTCGTGATAAGTTATTTTTTAGGGTGATTAATGTTTAGGTTTTGTTACTAAGGGAAAGTTCAGGCTGTCGTTCTTTCTGCTTTTAAAGAACAAATGGTTGAAGTTGATTTTTTTCAGCATTATACATGCCATATTTTAAATATCTACGAAAAAATTAAAATAAAAACAATAAAGTTGATCAATAAAGAACAGAAATAGTCACAATTTATAAAACTCCCCTTTCAATAAGTGTAATAAACTTTACCTATGCAAACCTTTTAGCGTCTTAAAGTAAGTTTGTATTGGTTAGGACCATTGATATTATAATGACTCAAAATATTTAATATTATTTCATTATAATATATAAACTGTAAATGAGAAGGTTCACGTGTAGAATCTAGTTAAATTTTCATATACAGAAGTCTTGTTTTAACAACCAGTAAATGCTACCTTTTGAAGTTTTATATACAAAACCAGTTCTGTTTTAATAACCGGTAAATGTTACAGTTTGAATTTTTATATTCAAAATTAGTTCTGTTTTAATAGCCGGTGAGTGTTGCAATTTGATTTTTTTTCTGTATACAGAACCAGTTCTGTTTTAATAATCGGTAAATCATTCAACTTGTTTGATAAAAATTGTACTTCTATAAACTTTGAAATATTTCATTTTTGTGGCAACAGAAATATTTTTATATTTAACTGTGCTTACACCATGAACGCCCGTCATTTCCCCCACTTAGAATATAAAACTTACACTGTTGACACTCCTGTTGCTCATGTTCTTTCACATCATACACGCATACACAGAATATGTCATGAATTCTGTAGCTTATAATCACAATTTCATCATGAACTTCACCACAGGAATTACTTATGCCCGTATGTAGGCAAACGAAAAAAGAAAAAGAGAGAGAGAAAAACTCTGCAAGCTTTGCATCATCTTATGTATGACCAGCGTCTCGTTTCTTTAATGGTGATTCAGTAAAACCATCCTTTATGAAATAAAGCTAACTGACAAAGGAATACGCCACTGAGAACTACATTAAGATATCAATGATTTTTTTTTCTATTTGAATTTCTTCGTGAACCTATGATACACAACTGGAAACGTTGAAGTGGAATGGCAGATATCCTGCTGATGGAGTAGCAGGTAAACAACCCGATATCAGGGAAACTGTAGAGAGAAACAGGTTACAGCAACCCGAATATACCTTACTACATTTGTTTTATTCATCATTGCAGCATATGGCTCGTGAACACAAAGGAAAACTCACTCTAGACGCCTTGCTGATTATGCCCGTTCAACGGATTCCTCGATACGAGCTTTTAATTAAGGTAAGCCACGTGAGTGAGAAATGGAACTTTCTGTGTTTTATGTGACACATAAGTAGATGCTTTCATTGATATACTCTTGTAGTGACACATAGATCCTCTTGTTTTACTTTTATATTTCAGCAGTCCCGAAATGTGACACACAAATTCATACGTGTTTTCACTGACAATTAGTTGCTCACCAGTTTCACATTTGGCTCCTCCTGTGTTTTACTTCTGTGTTTTAGCGATCCCGAAATGTGACACACAAATTCATACGTGTTTTCTCTGACAGTTAGCTGTTCACCAATTTGACACTTGGCTCCTCCTGTGTTTTACTTCTATGTTTTAGCGATCCCGAAATGTGACACACAAAATCATACGTGTTTTCCCTGACAGTTCGTTTCTCACCAGTTTGACTCTTGACTCCTCTTGTGTTTTACTTCTATGTTTCAGCGAACCAAAAATGTGACACACAATTCCACATATATCTTTACAGTTGTGTTTTAGTTGGCCGTGCCTGTTACCTATAGATTCTTGTACGTTCCAACTAGAAAACAGGTTTCCACTCACTAATATAACAAAAATGGTATTTGAAGTTTTTTTCCTTGTTTTGATTCCTTTAAACCCCTTTAAACACTGATGACGAAGGTATGACATTACGAATAAAGGTCACCGAGTCAGGGGTTTAGGCCACGTTTTTTCTGTTGATCTTATTACTATTTTCACAGTTTCTTGCGAAACAAAACTTAATTTTGAAATAATTCCATTTACAACCTTTCATTGAAATGTTTGATTACTTAAGTAGATAACACTTGAAATTAGTAAAATTAATGGGTAAACGAACTTATAAAAGTCATGTTTCCTATTCTTCCATATTTTTACCGATCTCTTCCTTAACTTCTCTCAATTAATCTATCACCATTAACATGTTTTGATATTTGTTTAATACCAGAATTTCGTTATTGAAAATTTACAGTATTTTAAAAATATTTTCGATTAATTAATATGTGACGTCATCATATGTTTAACTTAACTTTTCAAGTATCGGTGGTTATTGAAACAAAATGTGCATACCAATTTTTTTTAAACATTGCTTTCTTTATAAAAATATAAGAACTAAATATAATATCAGTATATAATGTTATGTATTTCTCTTAATCTTTCCACGCCCTCAATAAAAAGAATGAGTTATCATCTTGCCATATTAAATTTTGCATGATATTCAAAGGAGTCCATTGGGTAAAAGGAGACGAAGAAATCAAACTGATTCCCAGTAAGCTATTTTTGTAATGTCATTATGATCGATATACACAATTTATATCTATAGGACTATCTAATTGTTGCTTTGTAATCGACTTATAGGAGTTGTTGAAACACACCCCTGTAGACCATCCCGACCATCAATCATTGGTTTTGGCCCAAAAAGAGATCCACGAGTTAGCGGTCAAAATTAACAGGATGGAGCGCGAAGCTTTCCAACATGACCAAATGCAGCAAAGAATCAGAGAAGTCGAAAATCTAATAGAGGGCGCTATTGATGTAAGTAAAGTGCGAATGGAAATGGATAAATGACGTGATTCACATAAAAGTGATGGATACTTAGAGTTCGTGATGAAATTTTATTTTCAAAAAGAGGAAAAACCTTAGATATGATTACAGAGAACTGATAATAAAAAAGTGCACTTATCATCATCCTTAAAAAACTTCATGTTTTTTTTGTTTTTTAAGATAATTCACTTGTGGTTGACGATACCTCTTGAACAACAACAACAAAAGCACTGTTATTATTGTTGATTCAGTTTCTTAATTAAGCCATCTTTATCAGAAATAGTTAATGGTGTAATGCTGTTTTGAAATTTCGTTTTGAATGCTTTTGTTGACTGAATGTTGAAGATTTCCGCTGCCATTTTGATATATATTCTTTATGTATAGATAATGAATAATTATTATTTTTGAGTATACGTTTTATCTGATGACCGCCCTTACTACCAACCACTAGTTTTGTTTCAAAAGATGATCCACGAGGATAAATTGATTTTGGAAAAGAAAAGTCGAGCAATTCAAACCAAAGTAGTTTTGTTAATAAGTTTGGTTTTGGTTTGGCATTGTTTTGAATTTCACGAAAAAGCTACTGTGTTAGCCATCATTAATTTTGAAGTGATAGACTAGAGGGAAGGCAGCTAGTCTACAACATCCACCATCAACTCTCAGGCTATCTTTTGCCGACAAATAGTGGGATTGACCTTCTCATTACAACGCTTCTACGGCTGAAAGGGCGAGCATGTTTGGTGACAGGGATTTGAACCCGCGACCCGCATTTTGCGAGTCGAGTGCCTTAACCACAAGGCCTTGCTAATAAGTGAAAAATAGGATCGGTGATATATTGATGTTCATTTCGAACGTCTCCAGTAGAACTGGCAAATAGTTCAGGTTGGTGAAAACGGAAATAACAATGCATAAATGTCTTCTATTTCTCCACCTGTCACTCTTTGTTTGTTTTAGCGTAAAGCTACGCAATAAGCTATTTGCGTTCTGTCCAACACGGGGAATCGAACCACAGATTTTAGCGTTGTAATTCTATAAATTCATTGCTGTACTACTGGGGGACCTGACACTCTTGTGCTAGAAAACAATCACATAGAAATCTCACGGGTTAGGTTACTGACAGATACGTTCAGAAACAATTATCTTTTGTCATAAGCTGGTTTCTTCCATCATTTAATAAAAACGAAAATAAAAGGAACACAGCTTGATAAAAAAAAATCAGAAAAAAAAATCGATTTCCCAGAGGATTAGGTCTTAACAGTAAAGTACATAGTGCAGTAACGGATGTTCCATCGTCTTTCGAATCTAGCCAAAACGTTCACTAATAACCAAGTACACCCATTTTATCCTGAAAGATTTGTGTTTTTCTGAGCGAGGTATCACGCTTTGATATGAGTTCTGCAAGGGATATCGATGAAACGTTAAACGTTAGTGATGTGAAGAAGTCGTGATGTTTATCGTATCTAATTCGCAGCAAATAGGAATCACATATACTCGAAAGAGATCGATAGATTCTCAGTCATGCATATATTATACTTAATCCATAAGCTATTGTTATTATACCAGTGAGTGAGAATATCGTTTGTTAAGCATAAAGTTTAAAATCCCGGGAAGAAGAGCGAGAGCAGGGAGAGGACTCGCTTGTCTCCGTGACTTGAGGAGGCTGGTTGGAAAAGTGAAATTTGAATTAGGTGTAGGCAGCAAGTGGATAACAATAGCTGTTGATCCCGCAGAAATGGGAAGAATACCTTGGTTGATTAAAGAATAAAGCTACATGAGGAATCTAACCCCGGATTTTATCATTATAAGACGTAAAGTTTCCGCTGTTGTGTAGTTTTTCTATAATTTGATGATACGCTGGGAACGTTAGATATGAAGATTTAAAGATACTAGAGGCGCTTATCGTCTTGTCTAGCCTAAAAATTATACTTTGTGTTCCGACCGACAAATCTAAACATATTCAAAAAAATAATTAGCTGTCTGTGTTACACACAAAAAAGAATAGGCATCGTCTAATAATTAGCGTGCCCTAATTATGAATCTGAGGGTTCATGGTTCACGTCTTGTTGCCGCAGAAGTACTCTCCGTACTTTAGGTCGTGGATGCGCTGCAAGACTTAAGGTCAAGTCCCGTTCGTTGGCCAGACAAGAGTAATCCAAAAGTTTGTGCTGTTGACTAAGTGCTTTCTCTCACGTCTGTCAGTAAAAACTTAGGGATGGCTATGCGCAGCTTCGCACACACACATTGAAATTCAATAGGCACGTACTTCTTTAGAACTCTAGTATTTCTCCGTTTCATGTGGTATTTTGTTGATGCTTAGTTTTCGCAACAGCAGCCTTTAGAGGGACCTTTTTTATAGAATAATTCTTAAACAGTTTACAATTGGAAGTATATAGAGGCAATTGTATTCCTACTCTTGAATTGAAAAGAGCTATTCAACATGTGAAACAGATTACATAAACACAGGAGTTTGAAAAGGATTCCAATAAGTTGTTATTTTTCAGAGCATTATTACTTATGGTTTTAGAAACACTGAGTAGGCAGGCGTATTGCAACATCTGATTTATAGAAGTTAGACGATGTTACATAAAACAAGGTCAATGACAGGGAAGCAAAAACCCTCCATCTTTCTCACTCTCCTGTTGCCGAGGGTAATTATCAAACACTTACTTATTATCGTTTTAATGGCTAACTGGAATGTTGGAGCATAAAATTAAACAAACAGTAAAAAAAATTAACATTAAGTCAACAACCTTAAAGAGTGTTTCGTTACATTATTTTAAACTTTATTTCTGGATTTCTGATTAATTTTGGGCAGAATATTCAATTCCCGGAATAACACTTTATATCGATGTAAACATAAGCTCTTAGAAGGTTTCGTAGTGTTGTTATTTTTTAACTTAGTTCTTAAGATACAGTTCTTCATTTACATTTACTTTTGTTTATTATTCTTGAATACGACAACTGATGTGTTGGTTTTTAGATAAGAGTTAACTTGTAGATAGTGGTTATTTTTTTGAAAGGATTTACTTTTGAATTTATACATTGGTTCTCATCAATAACTACCTTTAACTAACGTGAGATTTCTTCTGACCTATGCGTGTCTTATGTAAAATGTCACGAATACTTTTTGAATAATTAAACGAATGTAGGAAACATTTAAGAGTAGATGGTTACTCAAACCAACTAATAACTGATTTTGTTTAAACTAGATGTAAAGTAAAAGTCCTGAAGAATTTAAAGTAACGGTAAAACTGAACTATCAAGCTGTTAGGCTAAAGCGCTATTTTGAATGTAAACTTTGTAGTAGTTAAATCAAAATACGAGATTTTTACCCAAACTTTAAAGTTTTTTTATATTTTTTTCAGTTAGTTCAACCAGATCGGACTTTCATAAGATACGACCTTGTTACAATTTCGGTGAGTGATCGTACAGTTGGGCATTATTAAAGTGGTTAAAATATGATATATATGATAATGTTAACTCTAGTTGTCGCAAGTTGTCTTAACCAATAACAGTAGCCAAAGAAATAGTGTACATCATATTAAAATCTTAGCTTAACGCTTTTAAAACAGTTACTCTGCATTTACTCAGAGATGAACAGAAACAATCTAAGTTAAAGACTTAGCGTTGTAGTTCCAAGAAAAAAGTTCTCATTACACTAAAAAGTCAGAGAATAACTTCCAGAGGAACATTTTACTGTACCAAAACTTTTTAACCATCCTCTACAAAATATAGGTCGAGCGAACCATAGTACTGATGCATTACGAATTTCTTGTAAAGTTTGAGCTATTGTAAAAAATACCGGAATTCTTCTAGCTACGTGTAACTTTCAGTGTTAAAAGGAATAAGCAGGTATTTGTCGTGGAGCATTTACACGTAACCATTAACCAATAACCTCACTGTTTCGCAAATGAGTTTTTTAAATTGAACTGAAAAATGTAAAAAATACAAAAAAAAGCATTATGATCCACAAGATTTACTCGAGTGTGACCACGTTTGACTTATAAATATAACCTTATAAAAATAAATAAATACGTAAATAAATATTGAACAGACAAGATTTTAGGTACATGTTGATAATATTTACTATATAATGACTAATATTTTATTTTATTTTAAATTGTTAATATTCTTAATGTCTTATATTTTAAGTGTTCGTAATGTTATATTTTAATTTCTTTTATATATACTATATATAGATGAAAGTCAAAGAAACTACACTGCACTGTTCCGAAAGTTACTAAATGTTTAGGGAAGATTTCCTAAAGTCCTAGAATTCAGCTAAAGTTTACTTAGTGTTTTTAATGTCGAGATAAACAGTTTAAACGAGAAAGGTATTGACTCTCGGGTTAGTGTTTAGAAAGTAAAATCACAAAAGGTTTTGACTCGATGTCCACGGCGGACACAGCACATTGTACAGCTTTGCGCTAAAACGATTGCCTCACTTAATGTAAGAAACAACAACAGAATATTGTAATTAGAAAAATTTTGTGTACTGTTATATATAGCGATAGTCCCTTGTTGCAGAGCTGTAGATTAATACACAACCTCATATATTGTAAGTATAATACACATATAATAAAGTATACATACAAACACGGTCCAAAAAAAGAATACATTTAGTT